CCAGGAGTTTGAGACCAACCTTGGCAATATAGCAAGACCCTGTCTTTATTTCTTAAAAAATAAAAAATATCATTTTCCCTCAGGATTCTAATAAATGTGATTTTTAAAAAGATTTTAAAATTTAAAAAGAAAATAACACGGCAGACCAGGCATGATGGCTCACACCTGTAATCCTAGCACTTTGGGAGGCCAAGGTGGGAAAATTGCTTGAGCCCAAGAGTTTGAGGCCAGCCTGGGCAACACAGTGAGATGTAGTCTCTACAAAAAATAAAAATAATAATAATAATTAATTAATTAATTAGCCAGGCAGTGCATACCTGTAGTCCCAGCTTCATCACTCATGAAGGCTGAGGCAGGAGGATTTTTGAACTTGGAATGTCAAAGCTGCAGTGAGCCATGACTGTGCCACTGGACCCCAGTCTGAGCAATAAAGCAAGACCCTAGCTCAAAAAAAAAAAAAAACACAAAACCCACAAACATACGTGGAGGACAAAAATAAGAACAAAGAATAAGGACAACAAATGAAAAACAGTAACAAATATGGTAAATACTAATGCAACTATATCAATAGTCACTTTAAATGTCAGTGGTCAAAATACACTAATTAAAAGACTGAGACTGTCAGAGTGGACCAAAAACCAAGACCCAGCTATATACTGCCTGCAAGAAACCCACTTTGAATATAAAGACAGACATAGACTAAAAGGGTTGGAGAAAGATATATCATGGTAATCAAAAGAAAGCAAAAGTAGCTGTACTAATTTCAGACAGAGCAGACTTCAGAGCAAGGAAAGTTGTTAGGGATTAAGTGGAGCATCACATAATGATAAAAGGGTCAGTACTCCCAGAATACATAACAATTTGTAATGTGCGTGTGCCGAATAACAGAGCCACAAAATACACGAAGGAAAGACCTGATAGAACAGCAAGGAAGAAATAGATGAATCCACCATTATAGATGGAAACATTGACACCTGTCTATCAGAAACTGACAGATCTAGAAGGCCGAAAAAACAGTAAGGACGTAGTTGAATTCCAGTCCCATTAATCAACTGGATAAAACTGATACCTGTATGAACTGAATTTTGGTATTCCCTCAAAATTCCTACGTTCAAGCCCTAGCCCTCAGTGTGGTAGTATTTAGATATAGGGCCTTCATGAGATAATTAGCGTTAGGTGAAATCATAGGGATGAGACCCTCATGGTGGGATTAGTGCCCTTATGAGAAAAGACATCAGAGAGCTTACTCTTTCTCTCTCTCCATGCATGCTCAAGAAGAGGGTATTTGAACACACAGTGAGATGGCACCTGCCTACAAGCCAATAGAAGCCTCAGAATGAAGCCTGCCTTGTTGGCCCTTGATCTAGGAATTTCTGGTCTACAAAACTGTGAGAAATAAATTTCTATTGTTTAAGCCACTCAGTCTGCGGCGTTTTGCTATGACAGATCAAGACTAAGAGATGTATGGACTATTTCACCCAACAACAGCAGATTGTACATAATTTTCAAGTTCATTTGGAACATCTGCCAAAATAAACCACTTTCTGGGCCATAAAACACACCTTAACACATTTTTTAATTAATTAATTAATTAATTTTTTTTTTAGAGACAAGGTCTTGCTCCGTCACCCAGTCTGAAGTGCAGTGGTACAATCATAGCTCACTGTAACTCCTGGGTTCAAGTGATCCTCCTGCCTAAGTCTCCTCAGTACCTAGGACTACATATGCCTGGTGAATTTTTTTTCTTTTTTCTTTCTCTCTCTCTTTTTATTTATTTATTTATTTTTTTGGTAGAGACTGGGCCTTGCTGTGTTGCTCATGCTTGCCACAAACTCTTGGCCTCAGCAATCCTCCTGCCGTGGCTTCCCAAACTGCTGGGAGCACAGGCATGTGCCACTGTGCCCGGAAAACAAAATGAAAGAATAGAAATCATATAATGTCTTCCCCTAAACCCCAGTGGAATTGTGCTAGAAATCAACAACAGAAAGTTAGCTGGAAAATCCACAAAATACTTGAAGATTAAAAAACGTCTGTTATTTCTAAATAACAGATGTGTCAAAGAAGAAATATCAAGAGAAATCTAAAAACATTTTGAACCAAATGAAAGTAAAAATACAACCCACCAAAATGTGTTGAAGTAACAAAAGCAGTGCTTTGAGAGAAATGCATAACATCAAATTAATATATTAGAAAATAGGAAATATCTAAAATCAATAATCTAAGCTTCCACATTAGGAAATTAGAAAAAAAAAAGAAAATTAAATCAAAGGTAAGAAAAAAAAAGAAGTAAAAGAGCAGAAATCAATGAAACTGAAAACAGGAAATCAACAGAGAAAATCAATAAAATCAAAAGCCAGTTCTTTGAAAAGATAAATAAAATTCATAAGACTGTAGTCAGGCTAAGCAAAAAGAAAGAAGACATAAATTGTTAATATCAGAAATGAAAGCAGGGAAGAGGGGACATAGCAGCTACCACAGACATTAAAAGGATAATAAAGAACTGTGATGAATAACTCCATGCCAACAAATTTGATAACTCAGATGAAATGGAACAACTCCTTGAAAGACACAATCTATCAAAACTTACACAAGAAGAAATCGACAATTTGAATAGGCATATATTTATTAAATAAATTGAATCAATAATTAATAACCTTCCAAAACAAAAAGAAACAAGCCCAGATGGGCTCACTGATGAATTCTACCAGGAGAATTCTGCAGGAGACAGGTGGACCTATGCATGAGAAAGTTAAGGAAGAAGAAACTTTGACCGAATAACTCAGTGGCAAAGAATAGAACCTGAGCTCTATTCCAGATCTAGAGCATGTAGCCGACAAAAAATGAGAACTGAGGCAGAGTTCTCTTCCTGCCCAGAACAGCCTTCATGGTGGGTACCAGCTGGGCCTGAATCTCATTCACATTTTATACCAGAAAGCCAGGGAGTTCACAGCTGACAGGCCTCCCTCCTTCATTGTGCTGTGGCATTAAGGGAGCCCTGTGTGCAGCGGGTCTCCGCTGTCCTAATTTCCTGGCTAAAGACCTAGATAGAGTGTCTAAATTTTCCTCCAGCCAACTGCTGCCCCAGATTTAGCCTCTCTGATGGATAAGTCTGTCTCTCTCCCTGCCAGTGGCTGTGTCTGCCACTCCATCCCATCCCTGGGCACCTGTTTTTAATTTGCTGACAGTACCAAAGCCTTGCTTAAAATGTATAGAATTATATGAAGAAAGTGCCAAAACCCTAACATAGGACCTAGAAAAGAGCCTGCAGACAGAGAGGCCCAACTCTGGGTGGTGGAAGAAGACTCGGTATCATCATGATGCCAGTCCTCAAATCCATGTCATCTAAATACAAATCCCCAATCTTTTATTTTTTTTTCTCTTAAATCAACAAAATGATTCTGAAGGCCAGCTGGAAAGATAAATGAGCAAGAATAACCAATACAATTTTAGAAGAAGAAAATTGAGGGTAGATTGTCCTGTTGGATTAAAATCAAGATGTAAAGTTGCAAAAATCAATCCCATTCATTTCCTGGTTCATTCCACAAACATCTATCGAGAGCTCATCTTGGGCCAGGAGCTGTGCCAGGCCCTGAGAATGTGGGGTGCAAAGGGGACATGCTATTTTTTGATGCCTGTTTCAGAGCCCAGGGAGGTGACTGGGAAAGGTGAGGACTTCCCAAGAGTCAAGTTAGAGGGTCTGAGCCAAGGCTGATAGCCCCAGCCCTGTGACTTGCCTGGGAGAGGACAAGGACAAGGGACTAGGCAAAGAGCAGTGGACTAAATCAGGCCCTCCCTCTGCAGGCGGCTCTGGTCAAGCCACTCTGCCACTTCAGGCCTTAGACTGTTCACTTGCAGGATGGCCTATATTAATAATATGATCATAATGCTAGCAAACACAGATATTCATTAAGTATGTACTATGTGCCAAGCACTTTATATGTAACATCTCACTAAATCCTCACAACATCCCTAAGATGGATTCTATTATCATCTGCATTTTTCAGATAAGAATATTTAGAAAAGTTCAATAACTTGCCTGAGGTCACAAAGCTAGACAAGGTCAAGGTCAAATGCAAATATAGACAGCCTGGCTCCAAAATCCACAGTGCTACCCACTATCGCCCCCTGCCTTTCAGATGTGGTAATGACTCCTCAGAACATGCAAAGCCCAGCGCTTTTTTTTTTTTTTTTTTTGAGAAGGAGTCTCTGTCGCCCAGGCTGGAGTGTGCAATGGTGTGATCTCAGCTCACTGCAACCTCTGCCTCCTGGGTTCAAGTTATTCTCCTGCCTCAGCCTCCTGAGTAGCTGGGATTACAGGTATGGGCCATCATACCCGGCTTAATTTTATATTTTTGGTAGAGACAGGGTTTCACCATTTTTGGCCAGGCTGGTCTTGAACTCCTGACCTCAGGTGACCCACCCACCTTGGCCTCCCAAAGTGCTGAGATTACAGGTGTGAGCCACTGTGCCCGGCTTGCACTGAGATTCTAAATGAAGAAGATGGCTTCGGTGGCTCCCCACCTTCAGACAAGGCAAGAGTTTCCTTTACCCTCCTGGCTGCTTCAAGCCAGTGCTTAGCCTGCTCTGGACTTTTGACATTCAGAAAATGAACTTCTGAGGTCATCAAGTCCAATAACCCTCAGGGGCCAGATGCCCCTCTCTGGATAACAGAGGACATTGTGGCCCCCTGTGAACATCATTGACAAACAGTTCATTACCTACTGACACAGCTGATGACCTTTTGGATGGCTCTTTCTCGAGAAGGTGATCACCCACCCTTTTCACTTTACTTCCAGGGGTTGGTAAGGAGAAAGATGCTTTTTACCCACAAGCTACAATAAGTCCAAGCAAGCACTGTGATCCCACTTGGCCTCCCTGCTCTTCCCCATCTGATCTTCCAGCAAGTCCTCTGTGCACTGAGCTCCCCTGAATCATTCCGTAATGCTAGAAACCCGAGTCATCACACCATAGCTGCTTAGGGCCCCTTGGTGTGAGCCTACCTCTCTCTGCTCCCTCTGAAGGCAGAGTTCTTCCGTCTCTTCCATCAGTTTGTCTGCCAAAACAAGCACACACACATTCACAAAGTGCTCTAAGGTCCTGAGGGAGTTGGTGCCTGAGGTGGTCACTGTCACCCCCAGCATCTCCCAAGGAAGGATCCTGCAGCCCTGCCAGCCAGGGGGGTGGGCCAACTTGTGGTGATGGAAGCTGCCACCCTCCTTCCCCATCATCGTCCTGCTTTTTCCATTCATAGGATTATGAGGGGCCTTATCTTTGGAAGTTCAAAGCAATCTCTGCATCCCCAGGGCAGCTGCATCGGGGCTAGTCCCACACCCATTTACCTGCTCTAATGTCTGGCTAGCAGGGAGGGCAGAGTCCTGGGGCCGGGGCAGTTCTGAAGCAGGTATAGGGGAGCCAGTGCTGGGGCCCCAAGTGCCTAAGCAGGCAGAGGGGAGAGGGTCCCAGGCTGAGGGCAAAACCTCGGTTTCATTATCTTCTCTCAAACAGTGCATGTTTACCAACCAGTCAAGGGCACAGGGGCCTGGAACTCCATGGCAAGATTTAAAATGGTCTGGGGCAGGGGTGCTGGGGACAAGCCAAACCCTGGGGACCCAGGACAGGATAACAACATCAACTCCACTTATGGGGCCCTTACTGCATGTCCAGCACAAGCACTTACAGACATTTTCTCATTTTGCCCAATCCTCTAAAAGCTAGGGACTATTTTAACTCGATTTTAAGGATGAGGAAATTGAGACTTAGAGAGGCTGAGCTGCCTAAAGATATACATAGCTGATAGACGGATGACAGGTGATGAAGCTGGATCCAGAGACCAGGCGCTTAACCACCAGACACTCCTGCCTTTGGTCCTGCTGGCTGAAGGTGCACCAGGAAGCCTTTCAGGTGCTAAGCTGGTCTCTGTCCCCTCATAGTCCCACCTGAGAGACCATCACCTCTGCTGGGCCCTCTACCAAGCCCCTGGCTATAGCCCGTGGTCCCCAAGTGCTACCATTAGGGAACCACCCCTCCAGCCAACCTAAATACTCCTGCTTTTCCTTAGCCAACTGCAGCCCCTGGGCCTCCAGGCTTTTGATCATGGCTTCTCCCAGCTGGGCATTCTTCCAGGTCCTGGGGAGGGAGGGCAGATGGGAAAGAGGAGAGAAGAGGAAGAAACAGAAAATCATTAAAGCCGAAGGGTGGAGGGGAAAGAGAAGGCATACGTTTTATACTTGCCCACCCTTTTTCCTCAGAATCTCAGCTTGCGTTCACTCTGGCACCCATGGCTTTGGGCATGCCACCAGCACAAATCAGTTACAATAGCTGGAGGCCGGCCAAGGCTGCAAAGTGGGCCACTGTGGGCTGGGCCAACAGCACTTTTAGAGCAGGGAAGAGATTGCTTCCCGGGTGGCTTTTTACATCGCTGAATGTCTACCACCCAGTGCAAGGCCTGCCACAGAGCTACGGTCAGTGTTGTTTGTTGAAGTGAAAGCATGACCTAGCCTGACCAGGCAGGTGCCAGGGCAGTGGTTTATGTACAAATGGACTGGGTTGACTGTGGGTTTCTGTGATCTTGACCCCAATTTACAAAGTACCAGCTCTGGTCCTTGCTAGAATTAATTATGGGCCTAGGGAGGTGAGATGGGTGTCAGGAGGCATCAAACACATTTCCCAAGAGTTAGAGACAAGTGGTGCCCTCCTCTGCCACCTGTGACTCTAGATACTTTCCAAGCTCACTCAGGGGACCCCTCACAGATGCGCTAAAACCTGGCCTGTCTCTTATTACCTACCCTAGCCATCTCCCACAGCCCTGGCCCTGTGCCCACCATGGTCCCAGCAGAGAGGCAGGGAGTTGAGGGGCAGCCCTGGACTCGCAGGTCACCCTCCTGGCTGTGAGGACTTACACCTTCCCAGACTCCTGCAGCATCTCCAGCCACTGGATCTGCTCAAACTCCGACTCAGCAGCAAGCAAGATGTTCCCCTGCCAGGAAGAGGAGCCATGGGTGTGCCTGAGAGGCAGCCATGCTGAGGGTGATGGAGGCCCAGCTCTGCCCTGTCACCACCCACCCCACATCCCTGGGGGCTGATGCCCATCTCCTAGGCCAGGCCTTGGCGGGGGAGGGTCTGTCCCAAAGGGGCCTGAGAGGCTGGTCGGCTCCTGCGGGGCCCAGGCTGAGAAGAGCTCTACTCACATGGAAGTCCTGGTGAGAGATCTTCATGGCATAGGGCATACTGGGCTCTTCTTTGGCCTCCACGATGCAGCCCCCCAGAGGGATGACGCCCTGAAGAAGAACCAGAACAGGCGGCCCCCACCCCATCCAGTTTGGGTCACTCAGGGGTTCTGGGGGTTCCTGGACAAAGCCATGTCCTGCCAAGTGCCCCAGGATGGAAGCTAGACCCTGGGGCCATGGGACAGAGGCCATAACTGCCTTTCAGAGAGGAGGAAGGGCTGGGGCAGGGGCTAGGGCACAGGAGGGTGGGGGTCCAGCCCCGGACAGGGGCAGGGGGTCTGTTGCCCCCAGAGGATTTGCTCTCCAGACTCTCTGCTAGACCAGAGCAAGACAGCAGACAGTCCCTGCCCCTCACAACATCTGAGCCCTGATGCCCACACTGGGCCCTCCCCTGCTGTGGTCCCAGGAGGGGCCGCCTCACCTTAGGATGTATATTGAAGTATTTATTGGTTTCAAAGCTCTTTTTTTCGCTCTCAGAGTAGTAAAGCAGAAAGCTCTCTTTGATGATGAAAAACCTATAGTGGGTGGTGGGGAAGGAAGGGCAACCAGGAGAGAAGGGGTGAGGCTTCTTGGGACAACAAGAGCACCCTTGGGGGCCCTGGATTCACATGGGAGCCCATGGGGACACCAGTTCAGACTTCCTTACCAACTCAAGTTCCACATCCTCACGAAGGCCTCAGCTGGCTGGTGACCTCCCCACAGGCAGCTTGACCCCTGCACGGGGGAAGCTGCAGCTGGACCCCCACTACTGGCTTCCAGGTCTGGCTCCCTCTGTCCTGCTAAAGCACCACCCTGGCTCTGCACAGCAGGACAGCTGTGGTCCTTCCCCGCACCTTCAGCCCCTTGAGTTCTCACCTCCAGTCACTGAGGGTCTCCTCTAGGAGGAAAAGGAAAGCAAGAAGACGCAAAATGCTAAGATGGGTCTTTGGCAAGTAACATGAAGGCTGGCAATCAAATGAGTTTGGGATGCCAGGCCAGCGAGGCCAGGTCTGCAGCCCCGAACACCCCAGTGTGACACTGGCATCCCCTTTGTCTCGGGCTGCTCCCCAGCCTCCTTCTGGGACTCAGGCCTAACTCAGGGGCTCTGTGACTTTGGTGCTTTTGACTGATGGGGAGGCCATGTCCTCAATGCCAACATGTGGAGCATTTGGACCCGCCCCAGGGGCTCTCCCAGGGCTCATGTTTGGAGCTATGATGAGCCACCAAGCACCCTCTAGGGGCAGGTCCAACTAGGACTCAAAGCCTGGAGGCTCAGGGACACCCAGTGTGGTTGGCTCCTTCCTCCAGGGCCCCTGCTAATCAGTGCTGTTGTAGTGACGGCATGTGAGCAGAATGTGGTGATTCTGAAAGCTGGTGTGAGTGTGTCTGTGTGTCTGTGTATGTGCATGCACACATATGAGAGTTTAAAGTTTACATTCTGGGAGAGATGGAGCCAGCTCAGATGGGCTCACAAGAGCCCACAACATCAGTCTCTTCCCTGCTCTGCATTTGGTCACATGGTGTTGGTAGCTTGATAGTGGCCATGTTGGGAGTATGTACACCATGCAAGTCAAATCCTATAAAACTGCCTCAGCTCCCTCCTCCAAGAGCCTGTTAAACATTTGCCAGCACACCACTGGTTGAATGGGCCCTCTTGTAAGGGGCTTAAAAACTTGCTGGTGAGGCTGGCTTCTGTGCTTCACACCTATAATCAATCCCAGCACTTTGGCGGGGTGAGGCAGGTGGCTCACTTGAGGTCAGGAGTTCGAGACCAGCCTGGTCAACATGGTGAAAGCCCATCTCTACTGAAAATACAGAAATTAGGTGGGTGTGGTGGTGCATGCCTGTGATCTAAGTACTCAGGGGGCCGAGGCATGAGAATCACTTGAACCCAGGATGTGGAACTTACAGTGAGCCAAGATAGCTCGACTGCACTCCAGCCTGGGCAACAAGAGTGAGACTCCATCTCAACAAAAGAGAGAGAGAGAGAGAGAGAGAGAAAGAAGGAGGAGAGAGAGAGAGAAAGAAAGAAGGAAGGAAGGAAGGAGAGAGAGAGAGAAAGAAAGAAGGAAGGAAGGAGAGAGAGAGAAAGAAAGAAGGAAGAAAGGAGAGAGAGAGAGAGAGAAAGAAGGAAGGAAGGAGAGAGAGAGAAAGAAGGAAGGAAGGAAGGAGAGAGAGAAAGAAAGAAGGAAGGAAGGAGAGAGAGAAAGAAAGAAAGAAGGAAAGAAAGAAAAGAAAAGAAAAAGAAAGAAAGAAAGAGAGAAACAAGCAAGCTTGCTGCTGAGCATGGCGATCTCAGTGAATCTCTGAAGGTAACACCAGCCACATGATCTTTCCTAAGGCCCCTGCTGCTGGGTGAGGCAGGCCTGGGCTGCTGGCAGCTGCCATCTGAGGAAGGTGAAGCTCAGCTCTGTGCTTTGGTGTGAGCCTCATGCCAACCCATTTTCTTTTCTCTTTTAAAAATAGAAGGCTGGGTGCAGTGGCTCACACCTATAATCCCAGGACTTTGGGAGTCTGAGGTGAGTGGACCACTTGAGGTCAGGAGTTTGACACCAGCCTGGCTAACATGGTGAAACTCCATCTTTACTAAAAATACAAAAATCAGTTGAATGTGGTGGCTCACATCTGTAATTCCAGCTACTGGGGAGGCTGAGGCAGTAGAATCTCTTGAACCCAGAAGGTGGAGGTTGCAGTGAGTCAAGATCGCATCACTGCACTCCAACCTGGGTGATAGAGTGAGACTGTCTAATAAAATAAAACAGAAACAGGGTCTATGTTGCCCAGAATGGCCTCGAAATCTTGGCCTCAAATGACCCTCCTGCCTTGGCCTCCCAAAATGCTGGGATTACAGGCAGAGCCACCACACCCAGCCCCATTGTCTTTACCTGAACCGACCCTCTCTGCCTGGCCATATAACAAACACAGCCCTGTGGACCCTGCTCAGGGTTGATACCCTACTAATGCCAACTCTCTCCCCAGGTCTTTCTTGCCCCAGTACAGAAAGAGCATGTGAATAAGACCTGCTGCAGAACCTCAGTGCCATTCCAGGCCTGCCAGCACCTCTGCCCACCTCTCAGCTTTCCTGCCACATCTGCCCTTCAGCCTCTCAACTGCAGAGTTCACTGTCCCCTGCCCGCTATACTTGCAGGGTCCTGCATGTGGAGATTGTGCGGCTCGGCCTGGAATGCCCTCATTCTTGCTCTTCAGCCAGGGGGACACTTCTCACTCCAGTGACCTTCCCAGCCCACACTGATGACTGGGTTTCCTCAGCACTTGCTAGCGGAGCCTGCACTTGGCACTTAGGCCCACTGCCCCATGCTGTGTGTGCATCTTGTCCGGACGGGGCATCAGGCTCCTGGAGGGCAGGTCCATCCCACTTCAGCCTTATGGGCTCAGGTAGGTGTTCCCTGACTGTTCCATGGGATTTTCACAGAGTAGTTAAGCACATAGGCTTGGGTGAAGGGGAGAAAGGAAGCAAAACACACTGCCATGTGTGTACCTATGCAACTGTCTTGCACGTTCTGCGCATATACCCCAAAACCTAAAATGCAATAAAAAATTAAAAAAAAGAACATAGGCTTTGGCATCAGGGAGACCTGACATTTTCCAGCTGGGGTTGGGGGTCCTTGGGCAAGTTTTCCTTTCTGAGCCTTAGTTTCTTTACCTGCAGAATGGGGACAATAACAACTACCTAATGTGGTTATTTTGAGGGTCAAATGAGATTGTGCTCATCACCCTGCCAATCTGCAGAGGCCCCAGGACAGGGCTGAGTGATGCATTCCATGGTCTGAATACAGTCACTGCAGGAAGGAGCACGGGACTGTCTCCAGGGCTATAGCCTCTTCTCAATGGCTTTGGAAATACTGCTATGGACCCAGTATGTCTCCTCAACATTCGTATGTTCAAGCCCTAACCTCACATATGACTGCATTTGGAGATAAGCTCTTTAGGAGGTACTTGTTAAAAAAGATTATAAGGGTAGGGCCCTAAGCCAATAGGACTGTGGCCTTATAAGAAGAGCTCTCTTTCACTCCTATAATCCCAGCACTTTAGGAGGCTTAGGTGGGTGGATCACCAGGTCAAGAGATGGAGACCATCCTGGCCAACATGGTGAATCCCTGTCTCTACTAAAAATACAGAAATTAGTCTGGCGTGGTGGCACACACCTGTAGTCCCAGCTACTTGGGAGGCTGAGGCAGGAGAATTGCTTGAACCTGGGAGACGGAGGTTGCAGTGAGCCGAGATCGCACCAATGCACCCCAGCCTGGTGACAGAGCAAGACTCTAAGAAGGAAAAGGAGGAGGAGGAGGAGGAGGAGGAGGAGGAGGAGGAGGAGGAGGAGGAGGAGGAGGAGGAGAAGGAGAAGAAGAGGAAGAAGAGGAGGAGGAGGAGGAGGAGCTCTCCTTCCTGGCTGGATGCAGTGGCTCACATCTATAATCACAACACTTTAGGAGGCTGAAGCAGGAGGATTACTTGAGCCCAGGAACTCAAGACCAGCCTGGGCAACATAGCAAGGCCTTGTCTCTACAAAAAATTTAAAAAAGGAATGTAGCTGGGCATGTTGGTACATGCCTGTAGTTCTAGCTACTCAGGAGGCTGAGTGAGAGGATCACTTGAGTCTAGGAGTTCAAGGCTGCAGTGAGCTGTGAGGGCACCACCACTGTACTCCAGGCTGGCCTCCAGCCTGGCTGACAGACTAAGACTCTGTTGTAAAAATAAATAAATCAAGTCTCTCTCACCCTCTTTTTCCTCTTGCTCCACCATGCAAGGACATATTGAGAAGGTGGCCATCTGCAAGTCAGGAACAGGTGCCCTCATCAGAACCTGACCATGCTGGCAACTTGATCTCAGACTCTCAGCCTCCAGAACTGTGGCCAAATACACTGCCAGGGTTTAAGCCACCCAGTCTGTGGCATTTTGTTATAGTAGCCCAAGCTGACTGAAACAAATAAATACCTTCATGCCTTCCTGCCACTTGCAGAGCACCTCTCACTTAGGGCAAAGCACTGTGCCAGGGCTGGGAAGTGGGTGGGCAGACAATCATTATACACATGACAAGGAGGGCACAGGGCTCTGGTGTCCACCAACCCCCCTCCTTCAAGCTGCGGCCTGAGGCAAACTCTCAGCCTTACTAAGTCCCCTTTCTTCCTCTATACAATGGGGGTATGGAAACCATCTCTTAGGGCTGTTGTAAAGATTCCTCCATTGATTCAACAAATAATTACTGGGTTGCCACTCTGTGCCAAGCGCTGCTGTAGGTGTTGGAGATACAGTTGTAAGCAAGACAGACAAAAATCCCTGTCTTCATGGAGCTTACAATACTTGCATGTAGTGGGTGTCAGAGGGTGAATGAATGAGACATAGGGATGTCATATGCCAGATGCTAATATGTGCTATGGAGGAAAATAAAGCAGGTTAAGGGGGATTGGGAGTGGGCACGGGACCATATTAAAGAGGGTGTTCAGGGAGAGCCTAGTTAAGAAGGTAATCTTTGAGGGGAGGAAAGGTGTTTCTGCCAGAGGAGCTGCCTGTGCAA